TGAACAAACTGCATTGACATGAGATTATTAGGAAATATTTTTGGGCATTTTGTAACAATTGCCATTGTAGGACAATATAATCTAGTAATCTCCAAGATAAGAGGAGTTGACCACTGTATGTGTTAATTCTTACCTTTGGTATTATGTAACCTCTAAATGAGATGTCATGTGTGGCATAATGGGGAACATTTAGTGGGACAATGTCAAGATAGCGCTGTACTTCATGAATCACAGCATCAGTGAAGGGGAGGGACTTCCTGTCATCCATTGTAGGTATTCTATTCTGTCCAATAACTTGGTCAATCTCCCTCTGCATTTGCTCTGAAATATATCAAAATGTCATTGCTACTCTTATATATGTTCAATAATTGTGGACTAAATAATAACAATAAAAACAACTATACACCAGATAAAAATAATAATTATACACCAGATAAAAATAGCTAAAAAGTATTCCTGTAAAACGAACACGCACTACAAATGCAAGATTTTTCTTTAATATTTTAGACAAGAAATCAGTGATCACAGCACATGACTGTTACCAATGCTCTTTTATCAAAGATGCTACAATATGTTTCAAATTAGCTTGAACAAAATAATTTGAAATCTGGTGGATCAGGAAAGCAATTATGAATAATGACTAGTCAGACTATGAAACAGTGAAAAAGTGCAAGAGAGAGAGAGAGAGAGAGAGAGAGAGAGATTGGAAAGTGAGAGCAAAAAATAAAATAAACATCTAACTGTCTTACTGGACACTTATCTATATTCTTAACACCACATCAAATGAGACTGTGGACTGAGGACCGTGATTCATAGTCTTGTAGTGTGCCCTTAAAAGCAAGGAGGGCAATTGTAGTCCCTACGTATGTCTTTTGAACATACCCTGTATGTGGGGGTGCTTGATAAGAAGCATCAGGGCATATCTGAGAGTTGTGCTGGTGGTCTCTGTACCAGCTACGAACAGATTCAAAACGGTCCCCAACATGTTATCCTTATGGAATTCTGTGTCAGGATTGTGTTTCTCCTTTTGTAGTACATAAAGAAACGGAACATAAATTGTATACTTTGTTGAACAATAGATACTATTGTAAATAGAAGACATAAGAAAAGAGTAACATCCAAATAGTTTTACATTTTGCTTTCAATACCTGTTTGAGTTTGATAAGAAAGCAGTCAATAAAGTCCTTTTGGTCACCAAAATCCAAATTTTCCTCATGTTCCTTGATTTTCTTCAAGACGAAGGCTTTGATGTCTTCTATCTCTTTAAACATGGCATGATGTCTACCAGGCAAGAGTTGCATTAGTTTAGGAAAGATGTTGTACAGCTGTTGGGGTTGAAAAATTAGTTAAGGAGACATTCACATTCTTTAAAGATCAACCAAGTTGCTAGTTGTGAGCCTTGGCTATTTTGTCACACCCTGTGCATTCTAATTTGCTGTCATGCTTTTATCAGTTTATCATTTATTTTAGAAGTCCTATAAGAATCCCTGTAAGCAACCTGTTTCCTTTTCCTTTTAAACTGAAAGAATAGTTTGGGATATCTTGTGCTTATCTTTTTTGCTCCATCACCTGCCCCAGACTGTCCCATCAGCTCACCTGACCCTGGGGGCTGCTGATAAAGCGCACAAGCCTGGAGATGATCTGGAGCAAGTGCAGGAAGTTTTTGTCTTCATAATCAAAGCGCTGCCCAAACACCAATGAACAGATCACGTTGGACACAGCCCGGCTCAGGAAGAAGGCTGGGTCAACTGGTGTTGCTGAAGGAGAAACATTTTTTTATCACACAACTCTGACAGCTGTGAGTGCAGAATGTGTATCACTGCAGTAGTACTGAACTCATGAGGTGGAAATGTTAAATGCTCTCTTCTCTCACATTTGGTTTCCTCAAAGCTCTTCAGCAAATGTCTGTTCTCTTCTTGAATCCACTGTTCCATTCGTTTGCGTCCCATTCCAAAATCCCTTAGCGTGGTGAGAGTGAACCGCCTCAGTTGACGCCAGCGATCTCCATTACTAATGGTCAAACCTGCAAACATGTAAGAGGTATCGAAATTTAGAATGAACTCCATTAGACAACATCTGTCTTTGACAAAAATTTACATTCATCTCACCGTAGCCTCTCAGAATTTTGATCAGAAATGGAACGGGTGCTCGGCCTGTAAAGTGCTCTGCCTGGTCCACTAGAGCCTCTTTCACTGTATCATAACCGACCAGAACCACCATTCTTTGAGGCCCGAGGTACACCGTCATTACAGTCCCATAGGTTTTGCTCCACTGTTTGAAAGAATACAGTTTACCATCACACACCAGTGCAAACTCAGCAAGTGTTTGAGCATTTCAGAATATATGTAATTTGCTACTCTAAAACCAATGTTTCACACACAAAAAAAAAGAAATCTCCCTGTGGCACAGCTTAATCCACCAATGAAAACGTCTCGGGTTACTTATGTAACCATGGTTCCCTGAGGGGAACGAGACACTGCGTCCTCTAG